GCGGACCATGTCACGGGAGGGAAAATGGCCGCGTATCCTGTTCGTACCCCGAGGCAGAGTTTTGAAGCAAACTTTTGCGGCCGGACCTGGTCGTAACCCGAAAAGTTCGTTAACAGAAGCATTCGTAACCCGAGGTTCCACTGTACTTTAGCAACCTACTAACTTGCTATCTATGCTACAACATGCTATCTTTTTCCAGGTAGGATAGCTTTGTTTCTTCGTTAAGAGACACTGAAAAAGGCAAAAGTTTGAGCTTACATGGGATCATCACTTATCATAGCATAATCTTTTGCTGACCATCCACTTTCATCTCTATGGGAAACATTTGATCCATGGACGAGAAGAACACTCGTTAAGTCACGTTTTTTATTAGAAGCAGAAATCAATAGTGGAGTTCTGAAACAGGAGAACCCCCCCCCCAAAAAAATTACTGTGTATCATCAACCTTTACTAATGCTTTAACTCCCTGAATTCATTCAAGATTATTCTCTCTTGCAAAAAGATAGGGAAAAAACCTCTTTAATATATTTTCTAATACAATTAATAAAAATTTAAACATTTCAAAACTACACTTACGAGTTTTCACATTATACAAAGCTACCTGTTTCTAATGCTTTATGTTTAAGGAGCAAAATATATCTATACAAAGACAGAACATCTGTGCAGTAAGGTTCAAATAAAGTGTTTTTTTGTTCTGTGTATAAGACTCAGAAAGGTCACTTGCATTTTAAAATAACTTTTAACTGAATTAATTTCTTCCCTTTATATCAGAGAAACCCAACAAATGGAGTTTTCTACTAGGAAGCAATTGCCTCCAGTGCATTAGATGGATCACTTAAATTAATAATAGAAAGACCCCACCAAAAAAGTGGACAGGGGAGGACATGAAGACTTGTTTATAATAAAATACAAACTAAACATAAAAGCTATTCAGTTGTACTTTTTTTTTACTGAAACAAATGGAAAATGGTATTGAACAAAAGGAAACATCACTATCTCCTCTAAAATGCAAACCACCTTAACCAACCTACATATATATTTTTTTTCAAGGATTTATCTTTTGATCCTAAAGGCAGTTTGCAACACAGCTGGAAACAAAACCTTTTAGATAAGACTAAAATGTAGTCTTAATAATAGAAGCAAGACACTGGTAAGGAGTTTTTACATTCAGGAAATATTATTCTAGCAGACTGATTATCCATCACGTTATGGGACATGAATACTTAAAAACAGTTCTAAAATCCTGGGAGAGGTATCATCTAAATGAACCAAACTATACCTTCCCAATTTATCTGTGGCATCTACAGATGCTTTTTTTTTAAGAAGAAACTCTACCATTTCTCGATTATTTTCACCAACAGCAACAATTAATGGTGTGCTCCCATCCTGAAAACAAAAAAAGAAATATGTATGTGCACATATAGTTTCTATTTACCATGCAACAAATACAATGAAATTCAATCTATCCTTTATCTAAGCCAAACAAAAAGGATGTTCAGAGGTTTTCTTTCTTTTCATCTGCTTCTAGATGGGGTCCAGTGGGAGTTAAACATCTTGGAGATAATATTTTCTGTATTCCTATTTGGCTTTCAAGTCTCAGATAATTTCGAACATTTGTACAATAGACCAGATTTGACCATTATAACTACAAATTTTTTATTGGAAAAAGTAGAACTGCGTAACTGCAAATCTAAAATAGTGCTACTGTATATGTAGTGCCTTCAAGCCTGTCTTGATTCCTGGCAACTGTCCATGCAGTTTTCTTGGCAATGTTTTTTGGAAGTGGTTTGCCATTCCCTTCTTACTAAGGTTGAGAAAATGAGTGACAGGTCCAAAGTAATCCAGATGGTTTTGTGCCTATCAAGGGACTAGAACTCAGTCTCCTGGCTTCTAGCCTACTGCCTTTAATCCCTATACCAAACTGGCTCTTTTGTTTTCTACTATTTACTCCTATTGATGATACAGTCATTTTAACAATATCACAATCCCACAAAAAACAAGTACATTTTGTTTGTACGTGGATAATGGGCAGTTTGTGTACATTACCTAAAGTAATGGGAAATGAGAAGGAAAAAGAGACAAAGACTAATTTATATTTGGAAGTAAATATTTAATTCATAATGAAAGTGCTCAGGCTCACATCTGAAGCCAAAGTAAATGAGGCAAATGAGCTACATGCTGGGCATACAGTGGTACCTTGGGATATGAATTTAATCTGTTCCGTGACTCTGGGCGTATCCCAAGTT